TACTCTCATGTAAGCCTTCCCAGGGGACTTGGGACACCTGGAATGAACACAGCCTCTGTTGCAACCCTCACAGAGGTGATAATACACAGGTATCACATCAGGGCCCTATCCTGCATCTAGTCTGTGACGGATGCTCCTGCGATCCTGTGGCATGAGAGAGCAGCACTTCACATATGGGAAGCTGATTGAGAAAAGAAAGGGGTGGGGATTCTAAGGCTTCCATGACATGGTGCCCTGGCAAGTTATAACCCACAGACACAGATTGGGTAAAGCAGTTGGGTCGGGTCTCTTCTGTTCTGATGGTCTAACCCTATTGGCCTTCTCTGGAAGGAGCAGTTAGCTTGCTGCCTTTTTCTCATTCAAATGGCCCACAGGGGAAGGTCAAGTGCCAGAAGTGGTCATTGGGCATTACCCTTGGGGAAGGAGAGCCCACTGCATGTGTTTCCCTTGGCAGTGATTGCTAGCCTGTAGACTGGGGCACTGAGGAAACAGCTTGCCAACTCTGTCTAACATGCATTTCCATCTCGGTCCAACCTTGCTGGCAACCCAGGTTCCTCTTCTTGAAGCTGCTATCTTTGGGAGCATCTCCACATGAAGAGGCATATATTTCCAGGGGCATTAAAAGCAGTGGAACACATTTGTGCTGCTGCTTTGTGCCCCAAGGCATGCCCCTACACCTGTGCTTTGGTGCATGTCAAATTGTCCCAGGTGGGGTAGGGGAAGCTGGAACCAGCACAGAGCTGGCCCCAGCAGCCTTACCTTGGATCCTGGGGGGCCTCTCAGGGCACCAGCAGCACCATTCCAGCCACATGGAGCCTGGCTGGCAACCAGAGAGTGGCTCTGGATGGCCAGGCTCCATTTCTGGTGGTGCACGTTGCAGCCATGTGCATCACACTGCTTTGTGTGGTGGTTTTATTTATTTATTTATTTTTTATACTGGGACATCAAATTTTGGCACCAGGATGCAGGTTTGAGGCACCACAAGTGCGTGCTCATTTGGATGCACCCTTTATGGCTAAGTTGGCAGGTTGGGGAAGGGGGAATGGATCAGGTAACTCTGCAGTCTCCTGGCTTCGAACATTGCAACAAACTCCAGCTTATCGCCTGGCTCCAGCCTGATGCATCACAAATGGAAAAGAGAGCTGAGATTTAGAAGAACATCGGGCTTCATCCTGCAGAGTGTGAGCACCCAGGCTCCCTCTTCCACCAGGCCATGAATCTGTGCTAAAGCATTGTGCATGCATCTATCAAAATTATGCATGAACATTAAGGCTTAGCTGGACTGGGAACTGCCCGTTGTCTTGTATGGTCAGTCTTACTGTGGAACCAATCAATGAGAGGCATGAGTGAGGGTGTTCAAAAGGGACTTGGTAAAGAAGAAGAAGAAGGTCTCCATTATACAACAAGTAGTGGTGCTCACTGCTGCAACCTCCCTACACAAATGGGCCAGAAAGTGTGTTCCTGTGTGCGGGGTACCCTGGGCAATTTGTTCTTGACTGAGGACTATGGCAAATCTAGGAACAAATCCCAAGTCTTCCTAGCCCCTCCCCCCCCCAACCAGTGCCCAACTATCCTTTGCACATCGTTCAGACATGGTGAAAAGTTTTGGATCAAAATGTAACAAGAGAAACAGTCTCTTGAGGTTTTCATAGATTCATAGATTCATAGATTAAGGGTCGGAAGGGACCTAGTAGATCTTCTAGCCCGACCCCCCGCCAGGGCGGGAGAACAACAAAAAACCCCAAAAAGAGAAACGGGACTCAAATGAGTCCAGCCAGGTAGGCATCCAGCCTCTTCTTAAAGACCCCCAGGGTAGGGGCCAGCACCACTTCCCTTGGAAGTTGGTTCC